AAATACACTAATTACTGGAAGTTATGGTCACTGAGTGATTGATAGCGCTCTGCGAGGCAACTTCCCCCTCTTCCAGCTCTTCTGACGGGCCTCCCCCACCACACGGCAATTATTAATTCATGACCCAACCCTCAGGCACTGGTACCTTTACTTCTCATTCCGCCACCGCTAAGACGGCGACGTGGCTGGACATTGTCTGCCTTCCTCCTGGTGGCCGCTGAAGAGGGCAGACACAGCCATGGAGCTAAGGGCTGCTGCTTGGAGAAACTGCTGAAAATAGCTCAAGTGAAAAAACAAAAATAATAAAAATCTAGGCCAGCTTTTTCCTAAGATCAGGTTTCATGAAACACATAATTCTGTAGAGAATGACTAAAATGACGTAAATACTCTACAATAAGAACAATTCGCATTATTGAGCAAAATTCCGTGTGTTACGGCAACTCTCCATGTCCGAGCGATGTGTGCAAGGACCACAAAAAAGACATCAAGGTGCTGGAGCGGGTCCAGAGAAGAGCAACAAAGATTGTGAGGGGTCTGGAGCACAAGACTGATGAGGAGAGGCTGAGGGAGCTGGGGGTGTTCAGCCTGGAGAAGAGGAGGCTGAGGGGACACCTTCTCACTCTCTACAGTTCCCTGAAAGGAGGGTGTAGAGAGGTGGGGGTCGGTCTCTTCTCTCAAGTCACAGGCGACAGGACTAGAGGAAATGGCCTCAAGTTACTCCAGGGGAGGTTCAGGCTGGATATTAGGAAAAAAATTTTCACCGAAAGGGTTATCAGGCATTGGAATGGGCTGCCCAGGGAGGTGGTTGAGGCCCCATCCCTGGAGGTGTTCAAAAGACCTTGGTCCTCAGCATTGTCTCAAGAACATGCCACCACTCCTCAGCGGGCAACTCCGAAATAGTAAAATCCAGGAAAAACCCAAGAAGAACCCTCCTGTGGAAGCAGGAGGACCTGAGAACGCACCAGCCCTACAGAGTCCCACCAAAGCTCTTCTCACTCAGCTTCTTGTCTCTTATCCCCGGGGAAGCAGCTCAGCTGAAGGTGACAGCATTGGACCTCCTCCTCAAGTATCTCCACAAACTGCCACTGCTGGACAAGTGTGCTGCTGTCAAAACCCAACAAGACGTATTTTCTCCCACTTTGGATGCTTTAAAGTTGACTTTCAGGTTGCGGCCACTCAAGGCAGGACTGGAGTCACGTTGAAGAGTATCAAGAAATATTAAGTGATTTAATTTATCCTCCTGTGCAGGGTCTGGCTCATGGAGGGATCAGTTACAGAGCACACACAGCACTTGGCTCAGCCCCGTCAGCCTGGAGTGTGTTTTACGACTGAGTTACAAACCCTTGAAAAAACAGCTTTTATAATGAAAATGCTGACACAGTCTTCAGTGTAGTGACAGCAATGTCACTGGTTTAAATTGAACTTGCTTTGTCAACCCAAGAGCACTTAAATAAAACACCTAAAAACCTCACAAAAACAGGCCAACTATTTGTGATGAAACACTTTTAAACAGTTTTACAGATTATGTATTAAATTTATTCACTTCAAAAAAATCCTGAAGAAATACAAACTCAAAAAAAAATTGCTCGCAGCATTTCTTTTTTTTTAAACATTTTAAATTTCTTTTTTATGTTTGGCAAAGGGAAGACTGAGCACCCTGAGACACCTCTTACTTCAAAAGGAACAAGAACTCTCACCATCTCTCAAAACTTACGTGGTAAGTTTTCCCATACCTAATGCTTTCCCCACCCTGCCAGCAAGTTTTTTGGGGCAGTTTGCCCAACCTTCAAAAGTAACAGTTCAGTTTCTCCTTACATTATGTATTAAATTTATTCACTTCAAAAAAATCCTGAAGAAATACAAACTCAAAAAAAAATTGCTCGCAGCATTTCTTTTTTTTTAAACAAACCCTTGAAAAAACAGCTTTTATAATGAAAATGATGACACAGTCTTCAGTGTAGTGACAGCAATGTCACTGGTTTAAATTGAACTTGCTTTGTCAACCCAAGAGCACTTAAATAAAACACCTAAAAACCTCACAAAAACAGGCCAACTATTTGTGATGAAACACTTTTAAACAGTTTTACAGATTATGTATTAAATTTATTCACTTCAAAAAATCCTGAAGAAATGCAAACTCAAAAAAAAAATTGCTTGCAGCATTTCTTCTTTTTTTTTAAAAAATTTTAAATTTCTTTTTTATGTTTGGCAAAGGGAAGACTGAGCACCCTGAAACACCTCTTACTTAAAAGGAACAAGAACACTCACCATCTCTCAAAACTTACATGGTAAGTTTTCCCATACTTAATGCCTTCCCCACTCTGCCAGCAAGTTTTTTGGGGCAGTTTGCCCAACCTTCAAAAGTAACAGTTCAGTTTCTCCTTACACCTTGCTTGGCAACAAAGAAATTCAAGATATTTTAAACGCTCAGAAGAATATAAAAGAAATGAGAAGATGTACTTAGCTGCTATTGACACCTTGCTTGGCAACAAAGAAATTCAAGACATTTTAAATGCTCAGAAGAATATTAAAAGAAATGAGAAGATTTACTTAGCTGCTATTTTACGTTATCATGTCAGAACAGCCCTTGAAAACTTGGTCCCACGTGCCATTTCTGTTAAATTAATGTGCTATAACTGTGCTAGTTTGAGGTTGTAGGGATTGGAGTATTACACCACTAAGTGGAGGTGATTTTAAAACCCTACCGCAAATGCTAACTTCCCTTTTTAACAGCTCCATCAACAAGAGCCTGGGTGTCTCCGTTACCAATCCCCATGTCAATACAGTGTTACTTTAATGACAGTGACCTTGTGTGGCTCTTTGAGCATCTTCTTCACCTTTTCTGAGACATTTTTCTAAGCCACTGTCCTTGCTTTCATCATTTAACACATCACTCAAACCACTTCAATAAAACAGCGATCGCGTTGAGGAGAGGTCTCGGAGGACCAGATGACACACCAATTAACAAAGCGCACAGAACCAAATTGGGTTTTTTTGTACATCTGGTTCTGAAGACATTTGTGGAAAAAAAAAAAAGTTGAAGAGGTTTATAAGAGGAGAGCAAATGCAAATTAACCGAGTTTTCCTAATGTTGGCTAATATACTGTGAAATTCATCCTTCAAATCAAATCCACACCCAGCCAGGTTACCTACTAGTAATCCTAAACTAAATTCCAAATATCTTGGCCTACGTGGCAAATCATCATATTGCTGCTGCACGTCAAAATACATTCTTTTAGTCTGCAAAGCAACTGGTAAATGCTTGCTCTATAGGACTTCTGCATTTGCATCACTCTATTCCACCCTGAATCAGGGGTGAAATACACCATCTTAACGTACATACCATCTTACATCAAATCTTAACATAATATAATCTTGTTTTAGCCCGTTGTTGGCTACATTCATGTGCAGAGTGCGTCAGCACATTCTGTAACTCTCCCAAAACTGTGAGGGTTCTCCAGCATCACAACCCATTGAAATTTGCAGTAAAACAAATTAAGGGAACTGCATCCCCTGTGACACTTTAAAGTACGTCATTATTGTAATTCAGAGTTAGCTTCAGTCAGACTCTGGGAAAGATTTACAAGATCTGAACGCAATGATTCACCATTAAGTATTTTCCTGTTGGTTAAAAATGATTTGGCAAGGAATTTATCATTTGAAAACATAAGCAATAGTCTCAGCTAACTTTCAGGCTACAAAACGTGAAAATTTGTCTGGATGCTGAGGGCCAGCACCAAGACAGCTTCACTTCTACCTCATCTTCTGCCTAAAATAACAGTTGCAATTCACCAAAATATTCAGCTTCACCTCAATGAAATTATATTGTACCAGGAAAGAAGGGAAGGGGACCAATGTTTTTTGGTTCATCATATCATGCCTTTGCCAGGCTGTGCCAGGAAGATGATGCAAGTTATCAATGGTTTGAATGAACTGTTCCTACATGAAAAAACAACTGCTCCAAGCAGGGGGAATGTCTCTCATGGGACTATCCTGGAGTTGAAGAAGGCTCCTGAGCACTTATTGCTTCAGCTGTAAAGGCTACAAGGGTTTCTGACCAGAGCTCACGTGTTTGTGGCCAGCCCAGGCTGGCATAAAAAAGGCTACCTGAACATGAGCTTTGGCCACTACCAGGCCAGAGCTACCCGTCCCTTCTCCAGACCAGCCCAAGCCAGATCTCATTCTACTGGTCAAGACACTATCGTTAACACAGGTGCTTCTACTCAACTTATACACTCTGGGTTACCTTTCCTACAATCAATAATCCGTTTTTATAAAGTCATTGAAATTCACGTTTCTTAAAACATCTGATGAACCCTAAGCTGAAAAAACCAACCTTTTTCCTGAATCAAAACTGACCTTGTCCTGACTGAACCAGCAGAACGCTTGGGTTCTTCTCAATAACTGTCTTTATGACCACATTCTCTTTGAACTGCTTCATTTGAATAAGACACTTTCCAGCTTGAAACTATGTTTGTGAAAACCTTTCTAAGCGCCCTTTAAGTGAACACTTAAATTCAAATACTTGGTTTAATCACACGGGGAGAGACTCAAACCACTGGGCAAATATTTCTGCAAAGATTTTTGCGAGGCCTTTAACCAGCTCAAACCCTGAATCTGCATAAAAGCCGTTTTAACCCTAATGATAGCCCACTCTACCCTGGCCTCTTAAGATGAAACACAGAAATACTGTCATCTTCGGTCCCAGAGGTGTGGAGAGGATGCAGAGGCATCCATGTACCAGGCCCTACTTTTTACTCTCATATGGAGTTTTATTAGAGGGTTTTAATATTTTTAGATGGTTTCTACAGAGGATCCTTCTATCGAACTGAACTGGACACAGTAAGACCAGACCCATTCTAAATACAGCCAGTAAATTTAGCAATAGTTACAAACATGCAAATATAGAAGAGTATACAAAGACTACATTAAAGTATTTTGCTGTTAGATTTCATTAAATTCTTGCAATGTGCACAGAAAAAGGACAGGTGTTTGCATACCTCCATGAAGGAAATCCCTAGACTCCAAACGTCCGAATGAATTCCATACTGTTCTCCTGAAATCCGCTCAGGCTGCAAAGAGATGGAAAGAATCATCATCTTGAGCCCAGCAAACAAACATACACACTTCATCCACAAAAACTAGCCCGGGGCAAACGAATCAACTGAGAAAATGAAAAGCCTAAAGCTCACCAGCGACCCTGGCAGAGAGCAAACCTGCTCTTCAAACGTGACTTACACATTTACTTTTGCCTCTTCTGCAAGAGCAAAGGGCTGGGTTGTGCTCAGACTCGTGGCCACGCATCGCTCCGCACCTTGGAAAGTTGGCCTTGGCCTTGGTGGTTGGGCTTTTTTAATCAAAGAAAAAACAATAAACAAAAGAAAAAAAAGCCAATGGCTCGTACATGTGCAGCGAAGAGCCAGGTCAAGTTGTGTGAGGCCAACGGTACACACATCTACTGCCACAGCCAGGCAGAGGCACCACAGGAAAACAGGCTCCCGACGCCGAGTCGAGGGGCTGGGGAGCAACTCTGGCTTAAAAAGCAAAGTTATTGAAGGCAAAAGAACCGAAGAAGTCACATGCCTGCAACTTTATTTTATATACTTTTTAATTCCATTGTTGACCCGTAGGAAAAAAAAAAAAAAAGGCCTTAACTCAAAACTATTAATAGCAAGTTTAATGCCTCATGAAATGGAATGCTGTAAAATATAACTGCTAGTTTTTACTTGAAAGCTACAGTTTAAGCATTTCCAAGGTCAAGTACAGCATGAAATGTAACAATAAAAGGCTCCATGAGACCTCTCTCCCCACTGTGCCGTTAATGCACCTGTCGAGCCCAACCACCTACCAAGCGCTGCCGGTATTTTTAGTCTTTAATAATCCAGAGACCTTTTTTTAGAAAACAAACTCCCAAATTAGTGCCAGCCCCATGTGTTTTCGGGTGTTTACTCTGGGCTGCTAATCCCAGGTCAGGAGCTTTTATCGCAGCGTGAATGTTAAGTAAAACACAGAGTGCTGCCCGCCTTCTCTTCGAGGACAGCCTTCCCCAACCACCATAACCTAAAAAACCACCCCGGAATGTAACTGGAACAGCATCTTTTTGGCTGAGCCTCATTTATTTTGAGCTGAACAGTGACCCAAAAATTTTAGTTGTGGTTTTTTTTTTTTTTTTAAATTCGTTAAGGCAAGGCTTCATTAAGCATAGTTAGCCTAGGTCAGCATATCTGAGAAATATAAGGGATGTGATTTTTAAGCATCCTTTTATACTGAGATCCTCATCTTTGGTCTCAGATGAGACCCCGGCTTTTTCCAAGCCCCCAGATCAGACTCATAACTCAAACTGAGCAACATTAAATCATTAACTCTTCTATTATAACAGCTCAAGTTTTGAACAGCAACTTCCACTTAGAAATTAAGTATTCACAGGAGATGGTGGCAAGGAAATAATTTGCACATTTAAACAAAAAATCCAGTCAGGTGAATTAGAGAGTGTGGAAAAGAAGAGAAAAATAAGAATAATACATGCATAAGGTAAAGTGTGCAACACAGGGACCATCCTAAGGACACACAGCTCCAAAAATATTTTCTCTTCAGAGTTTCTACAACTGGCTAATTTTTTTTTTTTACATACAAAGTGGTGCTAAAATGATTTTACAGAACATGTATCTTTGCTGGAAATTTTAATTTCTCAATAAAAAAAGCTTTTTTGCTTGTTTATTTTGAACAGAAACCTCAATTTTTTTAATGGTTTCAAATTCACTTGCAGTCTGCCAAACAGGCAGACAAACCAAAGTTTATGACCTTCATTATTTTTTGATGACTAGACTATAAATTTGATGACGACAAATGATTCATTCAGAAAGCAAAAGAATTTTAACACATGAAATCAGATCAAGTATGATTTAGCTGAAATTTCTCTTTTTCAGTTAATAGATGAATGCGTCACATTCATCCATAAACAATAATGAAAAAGAAGTAATTTATTTAATGCACAACTGGGAAAGAAAACAGTAATCTTGATTTGTACACTAAAAGCATAATACAATTTAGTTCTCAGAGTGGTCTTAAGCAGATCTAAAGAGTAACAGCTGAGTTGGAGAAGTTGATTAATTTGGAGTGGTTTATTTGTCTGATTTGTTGTACTCCAGTTCTTTGAGAAAATGGAGGCACAGGAATCAGCAGGCTGATTTTCTAGCAAAAGTGGTGACACGTACAACCAGATTTTTTTTTCTTTTGTTTGTTCTTTTACAACATTTTTCTGCACATAATATTCTGATGACACAGGACAGCCCAAGTCCTTCTAGGATGGTGACACGAGTGTTTCAGAAGCCACATAATGAGTATACCTTGACTAGAAAAGCACTTAGCAAATAAATGGACACCCTGGTCTGCTTTCTTCTTACAAGAAAGTAAGAAAAAATACCTGAAAGCGATTAAAGGTCATGGATTTCTCTCTTTCCTTTTCTGAGGTTTGAAAAATGTAAGTATCAACCACTTTGTAATGTTTGACACTTTTTTTTTTTTTAAACAAGCTGAACAATTCCTTTTTTCTCATTAATACTGTGACGTAAGGAATTTGCTAAGAGAATTTTAATGGCCAAAATTAAAAGACAACAGTTATTATACCGCTCTAAACCAAAAAGCATTTAGATTTTCACATCTGTTAAACGGAAAAGTAAACCTAATCAAATTGATCTAATGGAAAATACACTCTAACTTTTGTAGTTCACTTTCAGACTAGCTCTTGTCACCGTGTTAATTCTGATGACATGAACACCACACGCCCATTGTCAGGGCAGGCAGAGCTGCTGAACCCAAACCTCACATCCCAGCTGATAACAGCAATGTTCTGCCACGTGCTACGTCTCCAGGAACGTGCTACTTTGATTTGAAAATGATGGGGATTTACGTTTCAACGTACAGAAAAGGGACAAAAGTAGTCTCATCATTCACAAGCACTCTAAGCAAAATTCATATAGAAAAGTGAAACGTACCGATGACATGATATATACCATTTAAAGTTACACAACATGTAATTTAATGTATTATTACGTAGTATTATTAGTCTGAATATTTTTAGCTTCCAATTTACATGGAAGCCTCACGTGGGAAACCCCCCCAGAGGTGGTTAGGGATCAGGAAGCCCATGAGATGCCTGTACACGTCGAAACGCTTCGCTAAACCTCAGGCTGGGAGCAGCAGTTCCCAACCTGCAGACACCATCGGGCTGTGGAGGTCTGCAAAGAGCCGCAGGCTATCAGAGGAAAACTGCTTTTTTAACATCGAACTGCCTCTCTTCTTTGTTCCCAGTTGTTACAATGCAGTAAAGGCAACTAAAAACACAGGAAAGAAACCCTTTGCCAATATTACTCTTCCCTATCGGGCAGGTGAGCACAGGTAGGAAGGGGGAGGGACAGAAAAGGGAGCTGTTTTGTGGCACACGTAATTAAGACACAGCTTATGCCAATGATAGGGAGAGGTGAAGTTTGAGAATTGATTTAGAGCGTATCCCGCATGACACAGAACAAGACTGCAAACAAATACTTCTATTTAAATGTTATTCCTGCATAAATCCACTTACCGCCATATAAGCATTTGTTCCAACATACGTCTTGGCTATAGAATTCACCAGCTATCAGACAAAACAGTCTGTTAGAACAATATAAAGATAATGTGGAAATAAAATGGGCAATTATTCCTCATTTAACCTACAATCATCATTCCTATAAATCAACTAAAAATTATGTAAAAGGGAACAAATTTATCTGCAAAGGCATTAAAAATGATTAAATCTCTCTTTTGTTCGGAATGAGAGTTCCAATTTAAACAAGCGCTGCATTACAGTTTATGGCAGATAACCTTAAACAATTCTGTTAAACAGGATGCTTATCGCTTTAGTACCCCAAACCAGTCTGATATAAAAAGTCAATTTGGAAGTAGGATTGAGCGCGCTCATTTTTCAGTCAGCTGGCTCAAGATGTGAATAAAGCCACATTCATCACTCCGCCGCGACGAGCACTAAATACGCTGGAGGGACAACAGACTCTGACAACTTATAATACAGGGCTGACCTTCCCTTTGGTCCTCGTGTTTGGCTGAGAGTAAAGGTGCTGAAATTCAAATCAACATCACAGCAAGCTCACGGGTCACTCTCAGAGAAGTTCTCCAGGGAGGCCCAAAATGGAAATTAATTAAAATTTGTGCTGCACATTGTAAAAGCCCACCACTATTGTTACTCCCAATATTAATTTTTATTGTGGGCCAGTTGGGCTCCCCAGACACATCTCTCGTTCTGCCCTCCCTTTTGTCTGGCCAAAACGCTTTCATATCAAAGCTGCATATCAATGAAGTTTGCTATTCGTAAGTAGTAATTACAATATCAGCAGTTTTTACTGTCATTAAACAATGAACAATCATATTCAGATGAAGAAAAGTCGCCCAGAGATTAAAAATGAATAGGGCTGTCCCAGCAGAGGGGAGCGAGCCGTGGGGCTGCTGTCTGGCAGCCAGGTGACGGGGACATTGGAAAGGGAGAGGGCAGATATCCGAAGGGGGGGACACGAGTGTTTCAGAAGCCACATAATGAGTATACCTTGACTAGAAAAGCACTTAGCAAATAAATGGACACCCTGGTCTGCTTTCTTCTTACAAGAAAGTAAGAAAAAATACCTGAAAGCGATTAAAGGTCATGGATTTCTCTCTTTCCTTTTCTGAGGTTTGAAAAATGTAAGTATCAACCACTTTGTAATGTTTGACACTTTTTTTTTTTTTAAACAAGCTGAACAATTCCTTTTTTCTCATTAATACTGTGACGTAAGGAATTTGCTAAGAGAATTTTAATGGCCAAAATTAAAAGACAACAGTTATTATACCGCTCTAAACCAAAAAGCATTTAGATTTTCACATCTGTTAAACGGAGAACTAAACCTAATCAAATTGATCTAATGGAAAATACACTCTAACTTTTGTAGTTCACTTTCAGACTAGCTCTTGTCACCGTGTTAATTCTGATGACATGAACACCACACGCCCATTGTCAGGGCAGGCAGAGCTGCTGAACCCAAACCTCACATCCCAGCTGATAACAGCAATGTTCTGCCACGTGCTACGTCTCCAGGAACGTGCTACTTTGATTTGAAAATGATGGGGATTTACGTTTCAACGTACAGAAAAGGGACAAAAGTAGTCTCATCATTCACAAGCACTCTAAGCAAAATTCATATAGAAAAGTGAAACGTACCGATGACATGATATATACCATTTAAAGTTACACAACATGTAATTTAATGTATTATTACGTAGTATTATTAGTCTGAATATTTTTAGCTTCCAATTTACATGGAAGCCTCACGTGGGAAACCCCCCCAGAGGTGGTTAGGGATCAGGAAGCCCATGAGATGCCTGTACACGTCGAAACGCTTCGCTAAACCTCAGGCTGGGAGCAGCAGTTCCCAACCTGCAGACACCATCGGGCTGTGGAGGTCTGCAAAGAGCCGCAGGCTATCAGAGGAAAACTGCTTTTTTAACATCGAACTGCCTCTCTTCTTTGTTCCCAGTTGTTACAATGCAGTAAAGGCAACTAAAAACACAGGAAAGAAACCCTTTGCCAAGATTACTCTTCCCTATCAGGTGTCACAGAGCCGGTGGGTGAGCACAGGTAGGAAGGGAGCGGGACAGAAAAGGGAGCTGTTTTGTGGCACACGTAATTAAGACACAGCTTATGCCAATGATAGGGAGAGGTGAAGTTTGAGAATTGATTTAGAGCGTATCCCGCATGACACAGAACAAGACTGCAAACAAATACTTCTATTTAAATGTTATTCCTGCATAAATCCACTTACCGCCATATAAGCATTTGTTCCAACATACGTCTTGGCTATAGAATTCACCAGCTATCAGACAAAACAGTCTGTTAGAACAATATAAAGATAATGTGGAAATAAAATGGGCAATTATTCCTCATTTAACCTACAATCATCATTCCTATAAATCAACTAAAAATTATGTAAAAGGGAACAAATTTATCTGCGGGGGGGAATTACCTGCGTGCTCACCCCGAAGTCACACAGCTTCACCTGGCCTCGTGTGTTCACCAGCATATTAGATGGCTTCACGTCTGTTGAGAGAAAAAAAAAAGACAACACATGATCTATATTATCCTAGATACGTACCCTACATCCACGGGTCATTACGGACATCGGCGCAATGGATTTTAACAGGAAATATTTCAAAGATCTATTTCCAATGCAACCACAGATGACATTATATCTGTACCCCACAAATACTAATAATCCATGTTCTTAAACCTGCAGGTGACACCAATCTGGGGGAGGGACAGCAAGTGCACTGGAGGACGGGACCTAGAATTCAAAGCGATCTCAACAACCTGGAAAACCAGACTGGAAAAATAAGATTAAATTCGATGGGGACAAATGGAAGCACTACATTTAGGCAGAGATCAATGAATTGCATAAACGTAGGATTAAACAACTGCCTGGAGCGGGGCTGCAAAAAAGGACCTGCAGGTTATGGCATGAAGTGGAAATGACAGAGAGGGACCAAACTCTGTCACTGCACAAGATAGGACCAAGCCAAAAGTGAGGGTGCAGAGCGAAGGCTGCTTGAGTACAGAGGGACAGGCAGCCCAGTGGCCTTCCAAACCTGGAAAACCAGACTGGAAAAATAAGATTAAATTCGATGGGGACAAATGGAAGCACTACATTTAGGCAGAGATCAATGAATTGCATAAACGTAGGATTAAACAACTGCCTGGAGCGGGGCTGCAAAAAAGGACCTGCAGGTTATGGCATGAAGTGGAAATGACAGAGAGGGACCAAACTCTGTCACTGCACAAGATAGGACCAAGCCAAAAGTGAGGGTGCAGAGCGAAGGCTGCTTGAGTACAGAGGGACAGGCAGCCCAGTGGCCTTCCAAGGGTCATCTCAGCCCTGTGACTCTGTATCCCAACACTGCAATTAACCCTGTCCCCCTCTCTCTAACAGCCCTCGCTTAATTCCACCTAGTGACAGGAGCAGATTTTAATATTCTAGAAAAATTCCGAATACGAAGTATCCCATACGAGCACCTGCGTGATGTAGGACACAGGCCAAACACAACATACAAGCACATTTGAGCCTCCTTCACCCCAGGAAGATGCAGAGAGCAGTTTTGCTCTTGTGCTCACCATTATTCAAAGCTACTGGCTTCCACCTCCACGGCTTCTACTGCATCAAAACGGCTCCCATCTCACCCTTTCACAGCTTTTAGAGGTTAAAAACAACACCTATCGATTACTAATCCTGCTCCAGCAAATAAAACAGCAATTTACATCGTAAAGCCAGACTGTCAGCATAAAGATCTTTGTGCTGACCCCCTCGGAGGCCAAAAGAAGTTGGAATATTTCTGTTGCACACTGTAAAATCGACGTGTGAATAAACCGCTGAACACCCAGCATCTTCCTGCTCCAGGAACACCAGTTGGAAAGCACAACCCGCTGGCTTAAACTGGGGAAGATTAGAGGCACAGTGGCTTTGCCTAATCACTGCTTTCTTCTGTCAAAATGGATTAAAAGCAATAGCTTGTCTCCCTGCCTTCTTTAAAAGTGAACACTAGTTGGGTGCAGATGGATGAAACCCAACACGAAAAGAACCTAATTTTGTTTATCATTAAGTTTGCCTTTGTTTAGCAGATGTTTGCTGGTACCGCAGTAGCTTGCTTAATTTGTCTCCGTAATGTAGAAATGTATAACCTCAATTAACAAGCTGATTAAATGCTTTCCTATATTTGAGCTAAAAATCCAGTTTAAAAAAGGGGAGCACTCAATATTACGATATACAGCTTAAGTGGATCTGTATGTTTTAAGCTCGGTATCAATACTGCCGATATGTTTTGCCATTTCCCCCCTAATCTAACAGAAAAATCAGTCCCAAGTGTCTCCGTCACGTTACAGCACCGTGTCCGTATCGTGATCTTCATTTCATCTTCAGGAATTCGACCCCCCAGCTGCATTTTTGATGGATTTTTACCTATTCCTCGGGTGAGGAGACAACACACCGCTACAGAGCGATCCACGCAGCCACGAAACCTCCCGTACAACATTTTTAGGAATATGTTTTCTAACCAAAACTTCAGGCAGACTCAAATATTTGCTTCTGGCAGCCTGCGAAGTGCACGCTCCTCTCCGGCGTCGAGTGACTTTGCTAAATCTAACGAGACACGCCGAGCCCATCAGCAGGCTCTATCCCGAATCCCAAGCAGAACAGTAAATTGCCCAGTAATCCTGTTTAACCTTCTTTCTAAAAATATGGCAGCCAATAGAGCTCCCTCGTTACCAGGCTTGCGCTGAATTGTAACGAACTAAACGGCAGATGCAATTACGCAGGGAGAAAATACTCACATTGTGCAGCGCGGCTCCAGCTGTTTACAGTATTAATACTTTTAAAAGAAAACTGCAGTAGAACAAGAGGCTCTTGCTTTTAATTGCAAAGGATGTAAGGAAAAGAATTAAGAATGAAACGGACAAGAAAAAGATCTTGGTGCAGTATGGCTGGAAATTGGTTTGTGGGATCAAGACTATTGCAAAGGATGTAAGGAAAAGAATTAAGAGTGAAATGGACAAGAAAAAGATCTTGGTGCAGTACGGCTGGAAATTGGTTTGTGGGATCAAAACCGGATCAAGGGCATTATTTTTTAAGAATGGAAGAATCCTGGCACTGAGTGAAGGGTCTGGGAAGGCAGAAGGAGCTCAAAGTGTGAAACACCACGTCCTCATGGAGTGAGATGATGAAGTGACACACACGAAACCAAATTTTCTTTCTATAAGGACTCAACCATGAGTCATGAGCTCAGAGGAGGCGGCAGGGCTGTCTCCAAGAGCAGCCCACAAATCCTTGTTCCCTTAAGATGACCCACCAGAGGAAGCCACCACGTCACATCTGTCCCCTGTCCCACCAGGGCTGCCCAACTCCCACCAAAGAAGAGCCCAGGCTCCATCCAGCCACCACCAAGTGTCGCTGGGGACCTGCAGACCCCATCATCTCCCCTTCCCTGCTCCCACCTCGGATGTGACGGTAAGTCGATATAATTAAAAAACCATCTGTCATTCATTAAGCGTTGCTTGATCCCGAAATCCTTCCTCCAACAAAGCTTAAAAAAAAAAGAAAAGAAAAAAAAAGAAAATCCTAAAAGAAAATAAAGCAACCAGCCCATTAAGGAAGGGAAGCCTATGCAGGTTGGGGACTCTACTGAGCAAACTGCAGCCAAACAATCACTGCCAAGAACAAATACTATCCCTCCTCGCAGCAGAATTTAACCAGCACCTCAAACAAGGGATTTAAGCAAATATTTGCTCTGCAATCCGATGGTTACGTTGGTTTCCTCAAGAGAAAAAGGAAGTGACAATCCTAGACAAGAATGTCACTTCACCAAATATCTCACATTGCAAGTGGGGAGAAAAATCACCCAATCAGTAAATTAGCCTTTTTGTTTCATAAATTGCTTCAGTTAATGGGTTAAACATTTTTTTTGGTTTCGGAAAACAAATGTGCATAAATAATGTTCTGCACCATCTGCTTGTGATTAATATTAGTGTTTAGAAGTGAAAGAATTTAAACAAGAGCCAAAAGGGGTCATTATGCTCCCATTACCAGTGCTTGCTTAATACAAATGATTTCTATGAAGCATCATTATAAAGGATGAACAAGTCCTCTTTATGATATATCTGCCTAAGTCGTTTCACCTCTCTGCAAATAAATGGGACCTCCAAGCTCTTACTTACCAGTAAACACAACTGTCAGAGGTTCAGCTTTTCGAACACCAAACATCTCAGTCACCTCGCTTTATTGAAAAGCAAACGGATTAATGATGGTGGGGAAGAAACACCAGATTTTTAAAAGCTGTCTCTTGACTTCGCCTGTCTTTTAAAAATAAAAAACCGCAACACGCCAGGTTCAAGGGAGACAAGAGACACAAAAGCACAGTTTTAGCTGCAGAAACCTCACAGAACGTTACTGTTAACAAAGTGAAGCTGCTGCAAGAATGAAAATATTTTCTTGCCATAACGACCCCCTCAGCACACTTTTTGCAAAGGCCAGGATTTATTTTTTTTAAAATTAACCAAAGTGGTCCATGAACACGCATGTGTGTATGTGTTCAGCTTTACATATGGACACAGGAGGTACGTATGTATATCTCCACACACCTGCCCTAGTGCTTTTGTTTGTGCTTCACTGCATGTGGCACTAATTCTGATTAACACTCACAAAGCTAAAAAAGCCCAATGCACGTCTTTGGTGAACACCACAGCTCCTGCTGAGACGATGGGAACCCTCATTGTTCGTATTTGTAGCCACAGGAAAAAGGGGAAGGGTTTGACCCTGAAAGAGGGGAGATGGAGCTGAGCTGTGGGGAAGAACTTGTTTGGTGTGAGGGTGGTGAGAGCCTGGCCCAGGTTGGCCAGAGAAGCTGTGGCTGCCCCATCCCTGGAGGGGTTCAAGGGCAGGTTGGAGGGGGCTTGGAGCAACCTGGGCTGGTGGGAGGTGTCCCTGCCCAGGGCAGGGGGTGGGACTGGGGGGGGCTTTAATCACAGAATCACAGAATCTTCTAGGTTGGAAGGGACCTTAAAGATCATCTTGTCCAACCGTCAACCTAACTGACAAAAATAGTCACCCACACAACAAACAAGGAGCAAGGAGCATCATCACTAAACCATACCTCCCAGCACTACATCAACCTGTCTTTTGAACACCTAAGGTCCCTTCCAACCCAAACCATTCTGTGATTCTATGATATTGCACTAGTGCCTGTCCCCACCAACCAGCACTCCTCTGCCCCAGTAGCTTATGTCAAAACTAAGGAGGATTGGAGTATCTTTCTATGGGAATATTCCAAGAAGAACAAGATGGTTTGAGTGATGCACAACCTTCCCTCCCTTCTGCCACAGGCAGCCACACGACCAAACAGACCAGGAAGATCTCCAGATCATCAACTCTGCACAACCTCGCACATCACAAACCAGAAACCACTTCCCAATTTAAAACCTAGTCAGAAACCAAGGTCCCTAAACCACGGAGTGTGCACTGGCCCCCAGTACACAGTCGAGTGTACAAATACAGATCAGTACAATTAAAGACAAGCGGGTAACATTTATTTCATACATTGCTTTTAATAAGGAGGTGTGAAAGGAGAAAAAAAAAACAACGAACAGATAAAATGCATACGGTCTATACTTATTCTTGAACTTAACAGATTTTGGTTTGTCTTTATACAAACTTTGACTTTGTACATGATTAGACTTGTTTAATTGCTAATTCTGTTTTAAATCTAAGTTAATTTCTCATTACCCTTCCATTTCTACTTCTTATCCTCTGGGGAAAAGAGCACACTTATCATTGGGACATTCTCACATCTTCCAAAGAAGTGCTGTAGGTGTTAATCTTATGTTTATGTTTGATGTGGGTGTGATGACTATGACTACAGCGTTGGGTTTATTAATATGCATGGCTATCACCTCATTAGTTGCAAGGTTTGTTTTGAAGTTAAGCTGTAATATTTGCTGAAATGTCTGATCTGGAATAAAAGACTTGCTCATTGTTTGTTTCCCTTGCTTTATTCCACGCTCTGCTCACAAACGGTGGGTTGCTGTGCTTGCCTTGCACAGCTTCTTCATGGTGATTGCTTCTCCACCTTCCTTAGCACCGTGGTGGAAATTCTTGACTTCTTAGCCTACGTGATCTTCCTGCCTGGTCTGCTTTAGGTGTGACAGCCAGGAAGTCAGGGTTACCTTCTCTTTCGTTTACCCTCTGATGCATTAAAACCAGTAGAGAGCTGAAGGAGATCACTTTGAGAAACAGGCATCTTCCTTCCATTGTGTTGCTCTGCACTCATTTTTAAGATATAGCAGCTCACCCATGTTCTGTATCTTAAAAACAGGTACAGAGTAATACTGAAAACCAATCCCTAAAGGAAACTCTGCCGGATACTGGAATTTCATCTACCTCCTCAGTGGCATTTTGCAGTGCTGTTCTCACCTTGGTCAATCCAGCAACAGACCAAGGCCAGAAAAATCTGAAGTGTGATGAAAAATCAGTTTCTGCGCTTTTCTTTAGACCAGAGCAAGGACCACACATAATTCATCAAAACTTCGGAGCTGCCCTTCAATCAAGGCAATGAAGCCCATGCAGAAAGGGAGATTCTTTTTTACCGAGAAAGCAAAAATCACACCCAGGCTCTAACTTTACAGCAGAAGAACAACGAAATGGTAACTCTAGTATTTATGCTTGACCACAACGCTCTCTCAAAATCACATTCAGTAAGTGGCCAGAATCTCTATTGAAAAAATTCAAAATGAAAGGAAATTTTCAGATCTGCTTTTTCTTTTGGGGCGTTAACAAAAGCATGGCAAAGACTCTGTAGCCTGTACAGACTGATACCCAGCCAGGGATGTTCCAGCTACTTTTTCTTTTATATTTATATCCAGACTGCTCATCCTCTTGCCGAGAGTGGATGGAGCTGATAAATCTCTGCATCTGGCAACATTCAGGCTAGTAGGTGAAATCTTTAAACCGTCATCAGAAAGGAAACCTCCTTGGTAACCCGTGTCTGCACTGAGCTGGCCACAGACTCCGGGTTATTTCTGTTCTTTTAATCAGGGTCAAATACACCAGCAGCCTTAGCATTTCACTCACTCACCTTCTAATCGGGGTAACAAAGCCAGGTCCTTACTTGATCTCACTCTTTGGGCCACAGCTCTCTTTCTCCCACCAAGGAGCTCCCACATCAGAGCGATCTCCCAGAAGGGAGATGCTGTGAGACCAAGGAGGAACGGAAGCCGATGTCCTGTTGCAGAGCCGCTCGCTGAGCCATCACACAAAGGAAGGATCAATCTCCTCCTCCACCACAAACTCCACAAAAGCCTGAGGACAGTCTGAGGAGCTCTAAGAAGGCGTAGAACCTCAACAGGTACCAGGAATCAGCATTTCCCATCCTCTTGACCTCCCCACTCAGTGCACAGATTTCTGGACGACTCCGGAGGTGCCCGACACCTTGCACCCATCACCCCAAGACAGCTGGGGCCAAACCCAGGCCTTGCTCCTCGCCTTGTCAGACCCTCACACCTACTTCTCACCACCCCAAAACTAAGCACCACCCCAGAGGAAAGGGTCTCACCTATTTGGTTTGCAACTTAGAATTTTCTATATGTCTCTCTACTCTACACTTCTCTTTCAATCACAAATGATGGCGGTTACTGCACCCTCCAACTGTGCACAGGGGCTGAGCGAGCAGATGGGTTAAATTAAACAGTATTGTTAGCAACATTAGGAACCAGAGCAGTTACTTTCACACACTTTAGAAACATTATAAATGTAATGAGTTTCTCTCTTTTTTTTTTTTTCCCTCCTTTTGGGTGGGGGGTGGTGGTGGTGTAGGGGAAAAGGCTTCTTTGTTCTTTAAACAGCATTTTCCACTGTTTCCAGAACTAACATTTTTGGAAGTTCTGGTATATCTGAATTAACTTACCACAATAGACAATTTTTTAACAAAATGTAACAACATTAAAAAGCAAGAAATAAATGAGACGTTTTAAAAACAGAGATTAGCTTCAGGAAGGAGAATAAACTGCAAAACCCCGAAATGGCTTATGTCCAAGCAGGTTTAAATTTTCTTTAATTATTCCTGATGACGTTAGAGGACAGCAGGCCACAATTTTAGAGATTGGAGACTCCAGCAATGCTTGTGGCTGTCACATGAGATTGCTGAAGTATCTAAGAAAATTAATTATCTATATTCTATTTTCAATACTAGTCAAACAGCTGATTTTCCCTGCTGATTTTTCCACTGGGCACCTGTTTGTAACTCTCAAGCATCTAAATCTCTATAAAATTCATTTTTTTCTCTTCCGTCTTTTTCTTTGTAGGGGAGGAGGGAAGACAATAAAAGAGAACAGCACTAAAAATATTTTATCAGAAAATCTGCAAAGCTAATGAGTGAGATTCGTTCTGCATTACTCCACTGGAATAAAACCAGATGTTAGCGTGGTCTACTGTCTCTGTAGAAAGTGGTGTTAAAATAAAATAATACGGTATTTCATTGCAAAACAGAAAACATCTGTTACTCACCTCTGTGTAAAATCTTTAGACTCCATAAATAGGTAAGGCCTTTCACAACCTGAATATAAAAGAAATTACATATTAAAGATTCCTGGTAAGAAACACTACAGACCTCAGCTGGCACGAGGCATTAAAGAGCAGAATTCCACCCAAGAACAGAGCCAGGACCATGAAAAGGGGGGGACAAAGCGTCCCTTCCAAAGGGCTGCCAGCCCCAGATGAGCCCCTGCTGCAGGTGAATGGCAACGGGTTCTTTCTTTCAAAACACAGGGATAAGCTTCTTCCCAAGCTGGGTAAGTTGAAGCTCGCTGAGCTTATACTGAATTCCTTCAGGCATTTCAACGTATTTTTATTTCATCTGTCTTCACTGGGTGTTAAAAACCACGAAAGACAAAGTCTGTAATGATTTGTCTTCTTGCAACAAAAGCAACTCAATGAAATTAAAGAAACCAACAAAATCTCTAATAGCACCTTTCACTTCACCCTTCTTTTCCCCTTCTTTCCATTCAGCGCATATGCACTTTTTCCTCCTTTACTTCCTATGCTTTTACTTACTCAGTGCAAACACTCAACTTTTCTTCCTGAACTGTACAAATTGTCTTATTCTTCATATTACTCACCCTGAACCAAACACAAGCCTTGCTGTACCCCATAGCCCCAGAAAACACAATGGGCACCCCTAAGATAAGAACTGGGGCAGACTCTGGCCTGCTACTCCAGCGTTTGCTCCTTCCACTGGCTAAACTGTTAAACCCAAATTTAAAAACCTGTTATCCCAGTACTTCGTTGGAGCACCCTACATGCAAGATGCATTTTAATGAAAATTCATAGGACATGCATCTGTAGGAAGAATGCAGGTGTATTGCTCAAACCAACTACCCACGACACCTCCTCACGCAGAATCCGACATACGGCTCTTCAGATCTGGCAAGATCATCGCTGGATCCAACTGCCACTCAGTTTATTTTCTATATACAATATGATTATATGAGCCCCAAATTAACCTTAAAGCCATACTGGGGCAGACTCTGGCCTGCTACTCCAGCATTTGCTCCTTCCACTGGCTAAACTATTAAACCCAAATTAAAAAACCTGTTACCGTTGGAGCACCCTACATGCAAGATGCATTTTAATGAAAATTCATAGGACATGCATCTGTAGGAAGAATGCAGGTGTATTGCTCAAACCAACTACCCACGACACCTCCTCACGCAGAATCCGACATACGGCTCTTCAGATCTGGCAAGATCATCGCTGGATCCAACTGCCACTCAGTTTATTTTCTATATACAATATGATTATATGAGCCCCAAATTAACCTTAAAGCCATTCAGTCAACTCGCTAAGAAAGCAGTTGGCTATTACAAGTTATCCTCTCTGCAGATTTTGTTTCTGTAAAGTAACTAAACCCCAGTACTTTCTGAATTTTTAACCATAATTTTCCCCCTAGATTTACTACTTTTACAAGCCCAGAGAACTAACAAGATTCAACAAACATATTTCTACTACTGCGTACTTTTTACCCAAAGCAGCTCTGCTGTCTCACTCAGCTTTTTTAATAGAGCAAATCTTTTTTACAAAGTTTCCAGCTATGAGATGACATTTCATTCTTTTTCCTGAGACACTTTGTGCATCTCCAGAGCAAGAAAGCATTTCTGATGTTTGTGAAGTTGTATGAGTTTTTCAGATAAAACAATTACATTCTTTTCATTGTCTGAACAGACCAAAATGAAATTACTTCTCTTGCAGTGGTCAAGCAGAAGTGATAAAAATCCTATCCAGCCGCAAAGCAGACAGCATAATAATTTTCAGCCTTCCTATTGCATTAGAAACTCATTTAAAAATGTATGCTGTAACCAAAAACAACGTCAGTGGAACCCGAATCTCTGCCTTAAAGCAAATAATAGTTTTGGATCCCCAGTAAATTACTGGAGGTGGCAATTCCTCAGCGTTAAACTCGCACTCCATCCCCAACTATTTCCTGGCCTCAGATGGTAATTACCTGTAACAAAAGGCCATAGTCAAATTCTGCCTGCCCAGCGGCGTGGCCTTGTTCACGTTCGCCTTTCAAGAAGCCAAACAGGGGAATTCTACTTACACAGCATTTTGACAGAAGAAAGGAAAAAAAAGAAAAAAAGTATTGATGCAAAAATAAAGGGAGTGCAACACTTCAGGCAGCCTCCAATGGTGAAAGTGATTTTGAGAACAGTAAGCTGCTTTGATTATTAAACATATACTTAGACTATTTAAAATATTTTAAATTGTTATAAAATTATCTAAATTATTTTAAAGCAAGTATTTGTAGAAAAAAATGAAACATTTCCTACGGGAAAGAAATCAACAGCTGTGAGTTATTAAACATCTTTATTATGGAACGTGCTGAATAAGCAGTTATAAAAGACACAGCATTAAACAAACTCACACATTGAGATCCTCTCAGCATCAGTGTACAAAGAAAGGAAAAGAGTTTTTCCCTTTATCCTGGGCTGCAAACATGCGCACAGGAGCCCTGCAAATGGACTAACCCCGTGTAAAGTACCTTTATTCACTTACCTTACATTTGCCTATTAGGGAACGACTCTTAAGTATTAAATATTATTCTAAAATGGTGCTGGAAGAGAGTATCTTTTGATTGAACATCTAGCAGGAATTATTGGTATTCAGTAAAGTAGGTTTTACAACAATGACTTGACAAAGCCTTGACACAAAAAGTACTTCTACCTGCTGTCAATCACTCACTCTCTTGACAGTTCAAGTGCACATCCTTTCAGGGAGAACTTCAATCAACATTAGCACTCAAAATACAGTGCACAATGTCACCGCTTCAGAAATTGAAGTGAAAATAAATGTGTGAAGTGGCAAGCAAAGGTAGAACAGGTTTCATATGGGCAGACCCAAATAAGTACACATCGGTGTGAAAACAGGAGCGACCGCAACATCCCTTTGGGGTTCCCAAGATAAAACTTCCCCTTTGGAAAAAAAAACACCAGCCCTTCACACAAATAAACACCACAAGGAAGAAGAGAGATTTCCCCTTCTCGTTGGTACTGTCTCATATGGGCAACAGGATAAATTTTATGATGAAGTCTGAGATCCCTCCAGCATCTTGGGGATCCAAGTCTCAAGACTCCACACCTCCCTCTTAGAGCTTTATCCTGTCCCCAAAAACACAGCACTTCACCCAAACCCCAGAAAGCGCTTTCCTCCCTTAAGGATTTCTTTTCACTGCTCTGCTTTATTTTCAGCATTCTGTCTTTCAGCCCCAAACCTTCCCTCCACCTTTTACTCCTCAAAAAGATAACCAAGAGAGAAGAGCATTGCACTTGGTAATTCATTCCCGCTATTTCAGCCTGAAAGATGATTGTGCATCACAATTAACGGTGATCACTTCTTCAGTGGGAAATGGAGAGCAAGAATATGGAAGAACACCATGGTGTAAAGACTACACATACTCCACATGACCCTGTGATACCCAGTTTAATTCTCAGCAAGTAAAAGCTCACATCAGAGAAAATACAGCGGCATTTACTACCATCAGAGGTTTGACTGTCTCCGCAGATGAAACTCTCCTCTGATTCCTACCAAATGATGAGAAAGTGTGACTGGGAGGGAGTGTACCAGAAAGCAAGCACCATTCACACCCATTAAGCAGTGCATTCCAGGAATATGGTAAGTATTTATAGCAGTATTTCAAGGAAATTAGTAGCAACATAGTCCTATCCTCTTGGCTAAGGATTGTCAAGAAAGGGGTGTCTCTCAGGTAGTTCAGCCCCAGCCCGTGGAGATCAAAGAGTGCAAGAAAATGACCTTGAGTATGACTTGGTGTTTAATTGAGCAGGAGGAGCTCAGGGACAATGTGCTCCCCTTGCCATCTCCTGTTGAGCAGACACAGGTCTTGTTCTAGACCAGCTGGAATTTCCTGTGCCTTCCGTGCTCATTGCTGTAAAGAGGACAATAGTTTTTAAGGGTTGTGAGCCCACCACTTTTCACGATGACTGAATTCATGTAGCAAGAGAGCAAGCAAGAAAGTCATCAAGTCGAAGGGAGAGGAATGCTGGGATGCTGTTAAATGTCTCTACGTGCCTGCATCATTTTCCTCTGGAAACGGTTTCACTTAAAAACTTCTACAAATATAACAAAAGGGTATTCTAATTAACAGATGTGCAGGTCACACGTATTATTAAGCAGCTTCAACAGACTAATGCACTGTACACGTCTCAGGAGAATAAAAGACAAATGACTCTGTGTACACGGTGCAAGGAAGGTAGGAAGAGAACATACAGAATCAGAAAAAAAAAACAAAGACAAGACTATGGAAGCTCCAGATTTTGTCCACAAAATCCATGCACACAAGCTCTAGCTTTTGTTTGACATTCTCCTTCTCCTCAGCACACAAGCAGAAATCCTCCAGGCTTTGGGTAATCTTCACAAGCTGTTCGGGGTAGGGATTACGGTGTCTGTGTCCAGGACTTGGCAAAAAAAGGTGCCCCAACCCACAAAACGGGCTGCTGGGCTCTACAGAAATGTCAGACACCAAGATGCAGGGTGGCCATTTGTGAAGACTTAAAAAGAGCCATTCCTGCTGCCACTGACAAATTATAGAGAAAACAAAGGCTTTCACAGCCTCCTTCCAACAAGTCCTCCATGCCAATTGAGCGAGAAACCAGCACCGGAGCAGAGGAAGCTGCCAGCACCGGTTCAGCCTCAGTGCACACCTTCTGTTATGGAAAAGCAGGAGAAAGGGGTGAGTTCCTTCTCTGAAGGCTCCTTTGTTCACCTCTCCACTGACCCCCTGCGCAGCAGCGGGCACGGTACGGGTCGCTAAAGCAGCAAATAAAATAACTAGGAAAAGGTAAATATCAGCTCAGCGTCCATGTCAGGGAGTCAGGCTCACTAACTAACAGATTTGTAAAGACATGACCCTGCAGGTGAACAAAAACCCATATATATATATATAAAGACATAAAAGATGGGGCTGAAGGACCACCATTATGGATAAGTGAAAAATTGGCAGAGAACACCTGCAGAATAACAAGGCAGGTGGGCTGGGGAGGATGGGGAGAGAGGAGACAAAAACAAGGAAATGATAAAGTAAGTTAGTTTGGGTGTATTAAATACACAATATGAAGTGAGATAAGGAAAAGGAGAAGGAAGAAGCATTCAAAGAAATGCTTGAAGGCCCATCCCAGTATTATTACACTACACATGCTACTTAGCATCAGGAATATGAGGACACTGTGAGCAACTTATCATTCATTGCTCCATAGGGAAGAAAAGATGAAACGTTTTTACTCTGAACTAAAGGTGAAAAGCATTCAAATTCCATAAGAAACAGCTAGGCTATATAATGAGCAGATTTGAAGCTACTTAGAGGAAACAGCATCAGAGAAGGATGTTCATCACCCTGGGCAGGCCACACAAATTAAGAGAAAGTAGAGCTGTGAATTACAATGAACAGAGACTAAATAGCTGCCTGTGTTGGATTAAAGGATTTAAATTGTCAGCTTGATGTATAATGAATGTGAAAACCCAGCACTTAATTAAATGGCACATGATAGAATAACTTTGTTATGCTTTAAACTGCTTAAGTTATCAAAGTATTCCTTATATTTAGCAATTGTTTAGCAGCATCTCTTTCCCTGGTGAGATCCACTAAAGCAGTGGTCATTTACCCTGCGTTACCCTGAAGGGTCCCAGCACAGAGAGCTCAGCCCATCCCCAGGCCTGGCTTCTGCCAAATAAAAACTTCAGCCTTCTCCTTATTTGCCTTAAGGAGCACATGTGCCATGGGGGAAGACAGAAAATGTTCTGCCATTGCATTTTGGTAACAGGAACTGACTTAATTTTGCAACCTGGGAAGCAAATCTAATTGCATTACAGAATGAGGACAGTTAGAATGGAAATCACAGGTGAGAATCAGCAGAAGCATCAGACAAGGGATCACCATAAGGGCCAGGACAGAGCTTCTGAATCACTTTTTAAAGGAACCATATAGCACAGAAGGACTTAAAAGACCAGATAAAGGCAATTATGTGGACTGCTCTATCCTACAAGGGTTGATATGAAGAAACACAGCCACTGACTTCTCCAGCAAATTCATGATTTTTTTCTTCTTACTCCATTCAATTTATCACATCCTCTTACATTTCTTGAGCCTCAGGCAACTCACGTGTTGCTCATGCAAAAGGAAGGTTTTCTTCAGCCCCGTGTCCTGGAGCACACGGGAGGATTAGGAAGAGCCTGAGATTGGAAGGACCCTCCCCTTTGACACAGACACAATGAGGACACGGATCCTGGAGATGACACAGTGTCCCAAAGGGCCACATGCACACTCAAATCAGAGATGTGTTACACCCATAATCAAAAACTGAAAGACAAAAAGGAAAAAAAAAAAAGTACTTACAGCTACTGCTATTCTTCCCAGGACATGCTCTGGAATTTTTCTATAAACATCCAAAGAACCCCCTGCAGGGACAAACAAAACGTGCTTAGGTAATGCAAAATGAAATACTGCCCTAGATTTGAAGTCACAAGGGTTTTCTAGGCCTTGGTTATTAATAAAAACACCATCAATGATATAACAATAACTCTGTTGGAAATAACTGACCTTAAAAATCTACCAAACTCTGAATAAACACACAAAAGAGTATACTCAGGTCTCTCTTCACCCACGTTATTTATTTTTGCTTGCAGCATTAATACTAAAACTCCTTTTAGAAAACCTCCCCGTCACAGGACAGAACATCAAAACTGGAGAACTCAAAACCATCAGCCCTGGAGTAACTTCTCAGGAATAACAGAGTAATCCCACAAAAAGCGACAGTAGACTTCAAAATCTAAAGTTTCCTAACCCTTGTCCCCAAAACCTGGTGTTAATATTCCATGGTATCCACTACAATTCTTATATACACGCTTAAACCAGCTTCCTCCCTCTAATGGCCCTACAGACATTCCCAAGGGACTGGGGAGGATTGTTTCCCTTATTTTCCACTAAGCAGACTCATTCCAAGTAGAATGGGGAAAAAAATAATAAAAAAAGACAAGCAACAAGCAAATTACCATTAGTTTGCAAGAGCGTGTTGTCTTAGTCAAGGCTCGAGGCTCTCAGAAGTGCTCAGCACTGATCTAACTCTGCTCCCAGTGTAGCACATGGATTGTACTGGTGACACCACTGGGCAGAGAGTTAGGCCAATGCTCAGCAATTAAGAAAACTACACCTTGTACTTTGCTTATGGTTCATTTTTAAATGGGGGTTGTGGTAGTTGTTGGGTTTTTCCCCATGATCTCTACTGCCAGAAATACAGTGTTTGTCTTCACTGATGTTGCTCTGATTCCAAGTCATTGAAACTACTATTTGTTCATTAAATTTAATCTTTCAATTTACATCGTCCACATTGCCCGTGGATTGTAACAAACCTCAGTTTTAAAAGTTAAATACTATTTAATAGAAACAAGAGGCTGTAGCATCACAGATACCTACCGCTCATTACAAAAGCCAAACAGAAGGCAATTATATGGCAGGTGGTTCCTGTTAATGCTTATAATTCTTCCTTAAATTTTGGACAAATAAAAGACCTGTTTTCACACACCAAACTGCTAAGTCTTGCTATTAGGGATGTCACTAAAGGTAGTGCTGTTTGCAAAATGAAGGAAAGTATCTTTTTGCAAACAATCAGGGAAATCTGCCAATTTCTATGGAGAAAAAAATCCCATAGCAGGTAACATTTCCAAATCTAAATACACCACGTTAGCTCCCAAATCTATGTGTAGCCATGTAGGTACACTCTGACAACACATCAGAAAGCCTCCTTTCACATCTTTGTTGATCTTTAAGATCAGCTGGCAGGTGGGAGGGGGAGCCAGGTCGGTATTTGGATATTTGCAGACTTGGAGTTACTTGGCTTTTTCCTGCTTGCAGGTGCCAGGAGAGACCCAATCTGGTTCCATATGTGCATCTTTTCCCCGTGTGTACCCCTAAGTCATCAGTATCCCAAAAGATGCAGATGAACCTCTATTTATGCAATTTCAAAAGGAAATACCTACATTTTGTAATATGGTACAGGATATAACTGGGCAAACAGAGTCATGGGATATGGATTCAGGAAATATAAACTGGCCTAAGACAGTCAAAGGGTTAAAAATTTGTCAAGGTTAAAGCTGTTCATCTGCAGGATGAGGAATTATTTTTTTTCTTATCTTTACCTGCATCCTTACACATCAAAATTAAAGGTCTGGGGAAAAAAAGAAGGCAAGGTCCCTTTATTTGCATTTTGTTCTTCCTTTAAAAGATTGCAGTTGCTTTCTGCCAGAAGGAGTGCACACCATGAGGCAGACCAGAGGTCATCTCCAGCATAATTCCAAGTAATTTGGGCATGGTCAGTAAACACCATCGTTGTGCAACACCATGAGGGATGCATACCCTAAAGGCTTAAATATTTTCAAAACAAGAATTCAGATCTGCAAGCATTTATGTCTGTCATTTTTTTTTAAAAGAAAAAATCTCTGAATTAGTAGGAACATATCTATTCTAGGCAGCTGCATGTTTTGGCATGATCAGATGCCTCCTTACTGCACGTGGCTACTGCTTAACACAGGCTGGTAAGTTGGAGAGCAATTGGGAGGACAGAGCAGAAAAATGGCTAATAGTCACACAGCCTGAGAAAGGCAAAGAATTTAACTTTGTGGGCTTTGTTGAATAAATGTAATACTTTTTCATCAAACATGGAAAATCTGAGGGAATACCCACACTTGGAAATAGGGCACAGCTATCACACTGGGACAGAGGTAGTAAATGTAAAAAGAGAGAAATAACAGTAATAACAGACCATTTTAACAGGGAGAAAACAAAATGCACCATAAAACCCTAAAGGGCTTTATATTCGTGGTCTCTATCAGAAAGAAAAAATCTACTCAACGATGCTTAATGGTACACATTTGGCTTTGGAAATTTTTCCTGCCAGAAAGCCTTCCCTCCACAGTAAATTATTTGCAAGATCCTTACTTCTTTATATCCAGCTTAACCGAAGCTTTGTGAAAAACCTGGATAGGGCATAAAACGCTGGCTCATAAGAAAATCCTGGAGAGAGTAATACAGTCTGGCTTGTAACAACATGATGTTAAAAGTTGAACGCTGCGAAGGGGGTTCTGGCGCACGAGACACAAGGGGACTGGCATCTGCCACGAGACACGCTCTCAAAATTGATACACAGAGGGCAGCAATGATTATAAATTGCTGTAATCAGTAGACTTTTCCTGCCTTTTCTCCAAGAACGCCACCCAGTTCGAGATTTCAAAGCAAAGTACTAATAGGTCTCCATAACGACAGCAGCATCAGATTGTGGGGAAGGGGATACTCTTGGTCTGAAGATTCTCGTTGGGAGAAACAAGAGTGCACCCAAAAAAGAAACTCAGCGCAGCAGCACTAAACAGCTGCGTTAGAAAATAATTCCTTCTCTTGCAATTAAGAGACGATTTCCACTGAAAACATAGGACATTGGGTTAATAGATTTCTTTAAAAGAAAATCTGTTTTGGCTATCAAAACAGTAAAAGTGAGGAACAGCTGTTTTGTCAGCGAGGACAGATTGTATGGAAGACTCAAATATCAAAGCACAAATTAAGCCAGCATTTATTTCTCTTCTATTTACATTTTCAATAAAAGTAAGAGAAGTTACACTGGGGAAAATACAGCATACCGTGGAGAATATAACACACTCCCAATGATAACCTGTTTTTTTTAAAAACTACCTGCAAAGTTGTATTAATATTTACATTTTCAAGTCATATTACTGCATTTTGCTTCATTCTGGAAAAGCACATCTTTGTTCTGATTCTCCCATTTACATACTGAGCAATCAAAAGCACACTAAATACAGAACTCACCATCCATGAACTCTGTACACAGGGAAATTCTGTTTTCTACAAAAAAAGCACCATAAAATCCTATGATATATGATGAGTCACACTGGAAAAAGAAAGGAAAAAGAGAAGCCTGTTTAAAAATTTGCTGTGAGAAGATTATAAGGAAGAATAATCAAAATGAGAAAATTTATATACCTTATAAAGAATTTCTAACTCCGACATTATCTGCTTCTGGAGTTCCAGTGTTATATCTAAGGGTATGACCTAAAATACAAAGAATGGACATATGATTAGCATTGACAGAAAAAGTAAGTGAATGATTCAAAATGAAAAAAAAAAAAAAAAAAAAAAAAAAAAAAATTTAAAAAAAAAAAAAAAAAGGGGGGGGGGCAGGGAGCAAATGTAGTCACAATGTGAAATACGTTACGCTGTTTTCTGCCTAAATGTATTTATTCTAAGTATTACAAAACACTGCCTAAGTTTTGTCAAAGACAGGAAGCCATAATCAAATCCTAGATACACACAGGCCTTGAAGGGTCTGACAACATGGACTCAATGCAGAAG